GCGCGGCCGCCTCGCCAAGCGTGAAGGACCGGCGCACCATCGCGGTCGACCAGGCGAGGGCGGCCACGTGAGTGAGGAGCGATACGAGCGTGATGCCGGGGTCGGCGCCCTCGGGGGCGGCCACGGCCAGCGTCAGCAGCGGCGGCAGCGCGGAGAGCAGCGGCGCGCTCCACCACGGGAGGGACGCCGCCAGCGGTTGCAGCAGCAGCACGAGCGGCGGCTGGACTGCACAGCCGAGCAGCGCCCAGAGGTGCGCCCGGAGGAGCGGTGCCGCCGGCGTGGCCGCACGTACGTTTGCGAGCGCCATCGCGCACAGCAGCAGCGACGGGGAGCAGCAGCCCAGCGCCAGGCCCATCGAGGGTGCGCGCCGAAGCGAGCAGCATCCGAGGCGGCGCACGATGGCGGGTGCTGGGAGGTGGAGGCCGACGGCGGCCGCGCCCAGGCACACGAGCGGAAGCGCCGCCGCCTCGGCCGTCCAGCCAATGGCGTGCAGCGGGACGGCGAGCAGCACCGACGCGAGGACGACCAGTGAGGCCTCCACCGCAGAGGCCACCAATCCCGTCGTCATGCCTGAAAGAGGACGTCCGCGTTGGGGGTTGGGGAGGGGGGAAGGGGTTGTGTGGGTCTGTAGATGCCTGGCTGGCCGCGGTGAGACGCATGAGGCTGTGAAAGGCGCCTGTGAGGCAGACCGCTGGAAATAGTCGGACAGCTGAGAGCAGGCCACAGTCTACTTTCCGCGAAATGGAAGGAAGGAGAGAGAGAGAGAGAGAGCTTTTAGAAAACCAACAAGAAATCACGACTCTCACAGTGATTTGGGCTCGGCAGCTTGTCAGCCCGCAGCCGAAGCTGGGGCCGGTCCCGTAGCCGAGAGAGCCCGCGCCGATGAGTTCGACGCGGTCGGGGGGGCCTGCGGAGAGGCCAGCGAGATGGCCTCGAGCCGGGGTCGTCCTCCCGATGGGGGACTACGTAGCGCACTAGCCGTCTTCCACACGGACATGGTCCCTCGGGAGGGGTCCCTGGACCCTGCTGCTCCGAATCTCTTCGTACACATCCTCCTGCTGATCTCCGCAAAGTCCTGCTCCCTCCCTCGTCTCGCCCTGCGCGTCTGCTCTCCGCCTCCCCGTCGTCTGCTCTGCGTCGCCTGGCGACGGGTCCTCCATAGCGCTTAGCGGTTCTAACACAGGTACACAAAAAAGAAACTTGGTTTTTGTTGCGTTATGGAAACAGGGCAGCAAGGAAAATCCACGCCGAGCGATTTCCGCGAAAATTGGTTTCCGCGGCCCGAGGGCGCAAGTCGTGCTTTTGAAAAAGGCGAAATAGCGATTGCGGTGAAGGACCGCAGGTTAGGGATCAACATCACGATCAGTAAGGTGGTGCAGACAGCGGATGGCCGAGCGTCCGGTAGGCCGAACAACGCTCTGTCCTACCTGGGGACCGCCGAGTTGCCGGCAATATCGCCCAGCCGGCGCGTGCGGCTGGAGTTGATCACCTTCGCCTCTTGCGACTGCCGCAGTGCCAGCTCTGTATGCGTTACTACACGCCGTTCGGCCGGAGCGTCCTGGGCGGGCAGACGCCCGCCCCCGCCCGGCGGCCGACTCTGGGATAGTAAGGTCGAGTCTTGGTGGCACGGAGACGGTCACGAGACGGGACGGACGGAACCTCCGGACTCCAGGACGACGCCACGGGACTCTAGGAGAGAGAGAGTGTGTGAAGGGAGTCTGGGCCAGTCGCAGCCGTGAGGCATGCCATAGCAGCAGAGGCACCTCACGTACGGCTCGAGTCGAGTAACCGTAACTCGCTTTGTCAATCTTTTCGGACCTTTGATGTGAGTCAGGTCGGAGTCGTCGGCGGAGTCGTCGACATCGTGGTCGACGGGGTGTGCGAACCGATAGCGCAGTGGCGTGTGTCGGCGAGCGAGCCGAAGGCGCGCGAGAGAGAGAAATCCCTCGTCGGAATGGTCGACAGGCCAGTCGCAGCCGTGAGGCATGCCACAGCTGCAGCAGAGGCACCTCCCACCCATTGGGCGGGCACACAGAAGGCCAGGGCAGCACTGGCAAGTGCAACGCGCCTCATGTCGGAGAGCGACCGTGCCTCGCTCGCCGCTTATGATGTAGAGTTTGTTGTAGAGATTTCACGTTGTAGGGAGCGCCTCTACATCGGTCATCGCTCTACCAACGCAGGCAGTTCGTCATGCGGCGGATGTAGAGCTCTACAGCTCTACAGCGCTCCAGAGCGCTCTACAGCTCTACAGCTCTACAGCGCTCTACACTCTACATCCTCTACACCCTCCCTCAGGGCGCCACCCTGCTGGGGCTACCCGTAAACTAACTGTAGTGAGCGTCGGGCTGGTGGTTCGACACCGAGATTAGTATTGTTGGCTCAGAGAGGGGGGAGAGGCACGGCCTGCGTAAAAAAGACACTTTTGTGTCGACGAGTATAACTCCTCGCCACTTGCTCCAATGATATCAAACCCTGTATGATTCTGAAAGGTCTCGATGAGAGCTTCACCCCGAGCATAGGTTTCATGGTAGTACGAGCACGCAGTCCCGAGATATGGCCTCGAACGCACAAAAAAGACGCAGACCGTAAAAAAGACACGACGTTCGTATAGGTCTCTAGAAGCTCGCACTTCTTTTCTTTTATCCACACCTGCAGGCGACCCTGCCGAACAGCAGCTGCTTTTTCGACCCTGGCCCTGAGGCGCCGGACCCATCGGCGCCAACGCTTCCCACGCATCCAACGCCGGGTCGTACCGCTCGACTGAGCTGAAGTAGTCACCGTTGTACCCGCCCACAGCATACAGGTTGCCGTCGAGCACCGCCACAGAGTGAGAGTCCCCCGCCTCCGCCATCGGCGCCACAGCCTCCCACGCCGTGCCTCTATCCTCATCCACCTATTCCGGACACAGGCCTCTCGCCGCCCTACAACCCAGGTTGCTTTGCCGCCGCCACTCCCTCGACGTTCATGAACTCCTGCCTCGCCGCCTCCGACGCTGCCACCGTCCGCTGCTGGGAGGCCTTTTTCGCGCCGCCCGCCGTCGATCCGAGCGGCGTGGATCTCGAGACTGGCGACCTGCTCCTCGCTGGCGCAAACCCGAGCGGCAGGACGCCGGTGCGCGCCACCCTGCCCGCGCACTCGTCACCACACCCAGCCTCACCGCCTCCACCTCCGCTGCCGTGTGTGTAGGGTCTCAACTCGATCGGGACCTGCCGTTGGGACCATGTGGGTGTGGTCGTGGTGCGGGAGGGTGTGCCGTACGTCGTCGACAGCGGGTCCACACGCTACTACCCCTTCTGCACGCGCCCGCTCCACTTCTCCGCCGCCAGGCCGGCCGACGCGTGGGCCTCACAGCAGTCTGGCCCTCAGATGTACCGGCTCAGCCAGTTTGTCGCGGCGCTGGCCGAGGGCCCGCTGCAGCACAGCTCGCCGCCCTGGACCTACGAGCGACTGGCCGTCCGCAGGCTGCGCGAGCCGCTCACGAGTGAGCAGCGAGGCTCGCTCCTCGCGGCGCTCGAGGCGCTCGCGGACGTGCCGTACGAGCGACGCTCTGGGGAGATGACTGCCGGCGCCGTCGACGCGCTCGATTGCTGCGGCGTGCTGCGCAACCGAGAAGAGCTGCGGCACTCGCTGTTTTGCTCGGAGCTGGTTGCGGCGGCGTTCATGGAGGCGAAGCTGCTGCCCCCCTCGTCCGTCCGGCCCGCCAACGAGTACGTGCCGTCCGACTTTGCGCGCGACCGTGGCGGGAACCTGAGCTCCCTCTGCGGCTGCTGCTGCGCCTCCTGGTTGCTCGGCCGCTGCCTCGCGGCACTCGGCTGCGGCGAGCTGCGCAGCCACGCAACAGGCGAGCCGCTCCTCGGGGCAGAGGTGCTTCTCCGCACACGCGGGCCGCCGGCCGCGACGATGGCGCGAGGACCGGCACCGGCAGCGGCGTGATGCTGATGGCCCACTCCCCTCTCGAACGACAAACCACGCTTTGTTGTCTCGCTCCTCAGTCTCGTGTCTTTGTTTTGTCTTGCGGAATCGAAAACTGTACTACGACTCTGGCGGCGGCGCAGGTGGTGCGGGTCGTGGCGCCGCCGCGTCGGCTCGTGCCTTGCACTGACGGCAGGACGCGTCATCGTAGTAGCGCCAGTTGAACTTTCCTCGCAAGCAGTTGCAGCACCACCTAGAAGGGGCGCTGATGGGTGTTAGTTCGAGAAATCGGAGGAATCGCTCAGCGCTTTAGAGACCGGAGGAGAGATGAAATGCAGGCGGACGCTCACTCCTCGTAGTGGTCAAACCCATCGCCACTGCAGTCGGCCTCCTTGGAGCTATGAGGATCACGCTTGATTCGGCAGCCCGGGCAGTTGCCGTTGGCACAGCCGACCATCAACTGGAGCGGCTTTGTGGCTGGGCCTTGGGCGGCTCCAGGACTGTGGCGTCGGCCGCCCGGCTCGTCTTGCAAAAGAATTTTTTTCCTATCTCTCGTGTGAAATCCTCCCTTGGGTTGTCTGTTTTCTTTCTTTCTTTCTTTCGTGTGGAAATCCCATTGTCAGCCGTCACGATGCACCCGAAGGGGACCCCAGCGCCGGCATCATCATCAGTGAGTGAAGGCACAAGTGTTAGAAGATAATAAAAATCTCTCTCTCTCTCAAGTGTTCGAAGAGAGAGTGGACCTGAGCAATGATATGACGGGGCGGCAAATGATAGCAGTGGGCGTCAGAAGACTCGTCCTTGCTCGAGGAGAGCTCGATAGACTCGAGGGGCCAGGATATGCAGCGAGTAGGACGGAGCTGCGCCGAAAGGCGCAAGAAGCCGCGAGAACAAGGGACCGGCAGGCGGCGGCGGCGTCGCAGAACGAGGCAGAGGAGAGCGACGCGACAGAGGAAGAAGCGACAAGAGAGAGAACGACGTCAGTGGGACGACCGCGAGGTGGTATGAAGGTTGCAGCGAGAATCGGCGAGAGACTGCGAAGAGAGATAGGAAGAGGCGAACGCCCAAGGGTGGGCGACGGCTAGCGCATCACACCCCTCTCCTTAAAATCCCTGTGTGGTGGCGGCGTGCCGTCCTCCCATCCCTCCCTTGGCGTGTCCGTTTTCTTTCTTTTTCTGTCGTGTGCGGTGTGGGTGAACCCTGCCCAGCCCCCCTCCGTGTCGCGAACTCGCGATGCGCTCCCAACTCCCGTTCGCTGTGTCCGAGAGAGATTTTTAGCAATACCAAACAAATCTAACACTCACACGTCATTTGGGGCCTGGTTTGTTTGTTGCTGTGTCCGTGATCGTCCTTCTCTGCGGACGGGCCCCTCCCTCCACCCTTCACGTACGGGATCATGAGGCCGAAGAAGTGGTTCTATGTATAAATAGCCCCGCTCGCAGGGCGTGCAGCACGAAGGAGGGTTCTTGTTTTATACGGTTTTCGCGCAGAATTCTTTTCCAGTGCTTTAAAAAGAAAGAAAGAAAACACGCAGCCCAAGGGAGGGATGAGGACGGCACGCCGCCACCACACAGGGATTTTAAGGAGAGGGGTGTGATGCGCTAGCCGTCGCCCACCCTAGGGAGTCTGCCTCTTCCTATCTCTCTTCGCAGTCTCTCGCCGCTTCTCGCTGCAACCTTCATGCCACCTCGCGGCCGTCCCACTCTCGTCGTTCTCTCCCTTGTCATTTCCTCCTCTGTCGCGTCGTTCTCTTCTGCCTCGTCCTGCGACGCCGCCGCCTGCCGGTCCCTTGTTCTCGCGCCTTCTTTCGCCAGTGCAGGTCCGCCGGGTGCACTTGGAGCACTTGGAGTGCAGTCATCGCAGGGAACCGAGACGCGCTGCTTCTTGTCAGCGCTCGAGCAGCGCTCGAGCCAGCGTTCTGAGGGCGGTCGGCGGCTTCGCGAGCGCGAGCGCGCCTTGTCGCCTCCGTAAGTCGCTTCTTCTCACGACGCGCCTCGCGCATGGCCAGCGCCGTCTGGAGCACCTCGGGTGGAGCCTGCAGGATGTGGGCCTCGCAGCCCCATTCGCCCGCCGACTCTAGTCTGACGGTGCACCTCGTCCCTGTCTGCGGGTGGACAAAGCGGCAAAGCTTGGAGTCATTGCAGGTCCGGCCCATGCTTGGCAATTGTAAAGGAAAAGAAATATTCTGTCGACTTCGGCTCGGTTCACTCTTGCCGAATCCAATGTTCTCCCTCGCCGCCGCGGTCGCTGCGCTCGCACCACCATCTTCCCGCGCCGACGTGCAGAGGGCGTGGAGAGCGCCAGTGCCGCCCGTGATGCTTTGGAGAGCCGCGCAGCGTCATATCACCTTCTCCTCGATCACGGACGACGCAGAGGCCATTTCCAAGCTGCGTCAGATCGCGGAGGAGATTTCTACCTGGAGCGGCGAGGACTGGGCCATGTTCAACGCGCCCGCCGTTAAGCTGCGCCTCGACACCCAAGGCTCCGACCGCTACGGTGGCGCTGGCCCGAGCGTGGTGCATTAGTAGGCAGCACGTGCCGTGACGCGAGTCGCACCCGCGCAGGCGCCGTCGTTCTGGAGTTTCTGACCTGGGGCGGAAGCCGCGAGGGTGCGCTCGGCATCGAGCTTGAGGCGTGTCCCACGCCCTTGAACAAGGAGCGGAAGCGCCAACGCCTACGAGAGTCGTAGTGCCGCCGACTCACCGGGTGTGGTGGTGGCGTGATAGGGGCGGAAGCGGCTGCTGTGGACGACCAAAGGCTCGCGGCGCGAGACGGTGGAAAACGTGCTCTTCAAGCTCTTTCTCGAAGAGGTACGGAGCGGCAGCCTGAGCAGCGTCTGCCGCCTCAAGGCAACCTCGTTCCTCCCGGCCTCCTCGGACGCTGCCTTCACAGGGCTCATGATTCAGAATCGGCGCCTGCGGGAGGAGCTGCGCGAGATGAAGACACGAGATGCGGCCCCCGCGTCCCCTTAGAATGGCGCGTACTAGGGACGTCGCCAAGCGCACACCACGGCGTGAGGCCGAGGCGGCGGACAAACGCGGTTTTCTAGAATGTGAGTAGTATATTGTGGGCTAGCCAGTGAAGTGTTGTGGGCCGCTGCATGAGAGAGGTTGCCGTTATAGAGCGTATCTATTGATGCGCAGTGATAAGCATGTGCCTGTCTCATAATCTCGGAAATCATCGCGGGACGCGGGGGACGGGGAGAGGCGCGCACGAACGTCGAACCCCCGCGCCCCGCCGCGCGGCGGCCGCGCGACTGCCGACTCGTGTGGCACGAGGCGGATCGCTCCGGAGCCTCGAGAGCGCGCGCGCCGCGGTGGGTTGCCCCGTTGCCTCTCCGTGTGTCCCCCGGGCGCCTGTCCTCTTTTTTTACGTTCACCGACAACTTTACATGCACATGTGTAAAACGCTTGCAGCTTGCACAAACATTGCAGTTCCACGACCGGCACGCGGCAGATCGGCGGTCGGCCCTCCAGCCTCCGACAGCCGGGATATTTCTACACCCACAAGGCGGCAATCGGTCTCGCCATGGCCCCCTCTGCATGCTGCGCCACCGCGGCGCGCAACAGCAAATTGCCGCCCAAATGCTCGGCGCAGAGCTCGTCGAGCCGAAAGGAGACTCCTCCACCTCGCAACGACTCATTCTGAACGAGCAGCACCGCCTGGCAGAGGAGGGCGGGAGAGGTGAGGTTGAGTTGCTGCACGGCCATCCCGGGAGAGCGGCCGCGCCGGAAGCGACGGGGCGGAACGGAGCGAGAGGCGGACGTGCAGCAGCGACGGCGGAGCCTCCTATGGGACAGTCGTAGGCGCGTCACGGGCACGTCGCGGACGGGGCGGCGGGGGGACTCAGCAGCGAGGGCTCCTTGAGGGTGTTGCACAGCTTGGAGAAGGCGGCGGGCGGCCACGGCCCCAGCCGCGCCGCGTCGACGATGCGGAGCGCGCGGATCGAGACGCCCGTGTCCCTCCGGTGCCTCCGGCCCGACCGGCCCCTCTCCGCACGGGAGGGGCGTGAGCCGGGCCGGCTGGCCGCCTCGGCGGCGGCGGCGGGCGGAGTGGCGGCGGGCGAGGCGGCGACGACGGGCGAGGCGGAAGAGGCCGAGGCGACGGAGGCGGCGGAGGCGGCGCGCGCTGCGGTGACGGCGTCTCGGAGCGTCGTCGCCGCGGCGGTCCCGACAGCTGGGCCTTGCCACGCGGTGGCGGCGGCGGAGGGCGGCAGGCACGAGGGGAGGATTGGGGTGGAGAAGGAGGGGCCAATGGGGGCGGGGAAGGGGCGGGTGGGCGGCGGCGCCTCGCCCGCCCTGTCTACGCGGAGGTCCTCCCATGAGGAAGCAAGGAAGGAGGCCGCGCTGAGCGAGCTGGCCAGAGAGGTTGCGGCGGCCGCCGGTGGCGGCGGGGGCGGGGGCGGCTGCGGCGGCGGCAACGACGGCGTGGGAGGTGCGAGGCCCAGCTGCGCCAGGGGGGATGGCGGCGCGAGCTGCTGCGCTGGCGGCAGCGGCGAGCGCGAGTGGTGCGCCGAGCCGAGGGGCGAAGCGGCAAAGGAGGAGGAGGACGGGGAGGACAGCGATGGAGAGGAGAGCGAGGACGAGGCGGACGAGGACGGGAGCGAGGAGCAAGAGGCGGAGAGCGGGTTGGCCAAGCGCCTGCCGCGTCTCCTGCGCCGCGGCGCGGACGCCGCCGCCGGCAGCAGCTCCCAGTTGGGCCGGTGCCCCGTCGCGGGCAGTGCCGCGTCGTGAGGAGCTAGGCGCGACTTGCGGCCGTGCGGGCCAGCGAGGGCGTTGGGCACGTACTGTGCGTGAGGGAAGGGCGTGAGAGGAAGGGTGGAGGCGTGAGAGGGGCGGCTGCGCGCGCGCACCTCGTAGGTCGGGCACTTGGAAAGGAGGTCTTCGTGGGAGGAGAGGAGGTCGTCGATGTCGCCGGCCTCGCTCTCGGAGGAGGAGTCGTCATCGAGCAGCGTGAGCATTGACCGAATCGATCCGTTTATGTCGTCCATCGCTTCTCTTGGCAGGGAGAGAGGAGTCCCATGCAGTGGGTTGCGGGCATTAAGAAACCGTGCGGCGCCGCGGCCCCGAGAAAAGGCCAGATAGTCCTTAAAATCCCTGTGTGGTGGCGGCGTGCCGTCCTCCCATCCCTCCCTTGGGTTGTCTGTTTTCTTTCTTTCTTTAAAGGCCAGACAAGAGAACGGGAACCCCGGGCTCAAAATTCTCTTCGCCTGCGTGGCCACTTGCACGGAAAAAGAATCCCAGCAGAGGGCAAGGGGCATCCCCCCCCCGCGCCAGGAGTTGCGGCGGCCGGCACCGCCCCCAGGCCCGCCCCCACCACCACCGCCTCCGCCCCCGCCACTGGAGCGACCGCTGGGTCGAGGAGCCGCCCCTGAGGTTCCACAGCAGGCGGTGCGGTCGCCAGCGCCGCCATCGTTCCCGCCACCCGCACTGCCACTTCCGCCCCCGCCACTGGAACGGCTGCAGGGTCGTGGGGCCGCCCCAGCGGCTCCACACCAGGCGTTACGGCCGCGAGGGCCGCCACCGTACCCGCCGCCCCTGCCACTGGTGCCTCCACCCCCGCCGCCGACGGGGCCGCCACCGTATGGACCCGCTCGGAATAACTGGGGGGATCCGGAACCGCCCCGCCGGAGGCTGGTGTACCCGGGAGGAGGAGCTGGGGGAGGGGAGTTGCCGCAATACGATAACGGACCCGCCGGCGAGCCGGAGGGCCGAGGCCGGAGGGCCCCGGGGGGGGCTTGGGGTCAGCTGTCGGAGGAGGCGAGAGATGAGCTGACGCGGCCTCTGCGAGTAGAGTCGGGACGTACGAGCTCGCCGGGGGGGGACCCGTCGCGGTGGCAGCCGGGCCACCGTGATCTCCGACAGGGAGGGCCACGCCTCCCCGAGCCTGAGGAGGAGCCGGCGGAGGGGGGGGGCGAGCCGAGGACGATAGAGAGGCCGCGGGTGCGGGCACGATGACTCGCCGACCAGGGAGAGCGGGCTCGACCTCCCGGGGGTGGAAGTGGGTGTGACCCAATGCCACCGTTCTCGCCCAGGGGGTCGGGAGCGGGGTCGCCGGAGGCGAAGTCAGCGGGATCAGGCAGAGAGGACGAAACGGTGGCGGGGCCGCGGCCAAAGAAGGCTAGGAGGGGAGGTCGGGCCCCACAATCATCGCATAACCATCGGAAGGCGAACAGGAGGGAGGGCCGAGGGGAGGGAGGGCCCCCCTCGGAGGGGGGGTGAGGAGACCGTGCGCGGAGCGGGGGGGCTCCGAGCGGTGCAGTCAGTGAGGAATGGGTGTGTTGTCGTGCTAGTGCCTGGTGTCTACTAGCCCCGAGTAGAGGGGGCGTTCCGCTGCTAGGGGAAACCCGGAGCACAGAGCTAACCCTCGGGGACCCGTGTTTACTTTAAGGCCCTTTCCCTGCGAACGCGCACCCCCGGGGCTAGGGCTCTCTTGCCCGTAACCCGATCCCGATCATCCGGCCCGCTGGGTGCGCTTCTTAGCTCCCCGGCCCTGGATGTGAGGCTGCCAACTGCACTCCAAGTGCTCCAAGTGCCATACGACCTCGCGCATTCGACCCAGCTCCGAGCACGCTCGCTCGCTTGCTGCTGCGGCGGCGGCGGCAGCGACGGCGACTGCCGGCTGCCGGCTGCCGGCCGCCGGCTGCCGGCGGCCGGCTGCTGCCGGCTGACGGCTGCGGCGAACGGCGACGGCTCGGTTCGCGTTCGCTCCGCGAGGGTGCGACTGAGCCTGCCGCGCTCGATCTGGGAGCCACTCGGCGCCAGGTCGAACGGCGGTCGGCTCGGCCACGCGCCACCGCTCCACGCCAAGGCGCGGGCGGCGGTGCTCGCCGGCGCTCGCGCATCGCTTCTCTTGGCAGGGGTTGGGCGGCCAGGTTTTCCGGAAAACAAAAAGGAAAACAGAGGGTCCCCAGCACTTTGCGTTTCCGGAAATTTCCAGGGAAAACAGAGAGAGGGTGTTTGGTGCTCCATTCTGGAAACTCGCGAGTTTCCCTGAGTCTGAGAGCTGGTCTGGGGCAAAATCCTCGGCAAAATTGAGGAAATCGACAAAATACCCTGGCGGTCGCAGGGTAATTTCCAGGTATACACGGGTTCTCCGCGAAATTCCCGGCATTTTGCCGATTTGGCCTAAAATTTGGCTGATTTTGGGCCCAAACCAGCCTCAGACTCGGCTCAGAGCCCCAAAATTTGACGATTTCCACGCAGTTTTCCCGGGAAAACAGAGAGGAAAAGAGAGGGAGTTGTAGAGAAAAAAGGAAAGGAAAACAGACGGGGTGCGAGAGGCAAACCTGGCCGAGCCCAAGGCAGGGGGGACCGGAGTGGCTCAGCATTCCAGAGCGGGTCTCGTTCGTCTTGTAAGCAGGCTTGTGAGTTTCTAGAGATTTTTAGCAATTCGTTGTTTGAGTACCGTTCTCGGCGATGGATGGGTGGGCGAGCGGCGAGGGCACCTCCTCTATCCCGGGCGGCACGCACAGCCACAGGCGGGCCCACGTATTCGGATTCAAACAAATCTCTTTTCCTGCGGGCCAGGCCGGCCACAACGCGGCCATCGCGGGCGCCGTGGAAAAGAAAATCCGCCACGATCTGACGGCGCGCCTGCCCCGCGGGCTGACTCCGGGAGCGACTCAACCTCGCGGGCTACTACTGACTCAAGCTCAAGCTACTGCGCCATGCAAGGCCTCCGCGAGCTTGAGTCGCTCCAACAGCGACCCGTCAGCAGCGCCGACGAGCAGCCGCCAGCCAAGCGCGCGCGGCCGGGCAGCGGAAAGGCGGCGCTCGAAGCGGCAGAACTCCTCGCACGCGCTGAGCGGGAGTTGGAGGAGTCGCAGGTCGAGGTCGCCGCGGTGGACGAGAACGGGATGAAGGCGATGGTGCTGGCGGTCGAGCGGCGGATCAACGACAATATGGCGCTGCGCATGAAGTACCCAGACCGCCCCGAGAAATTCATGGACTCGGAACTCGAGCTGTTTTCGCATCTCAAGCGGCTGCACGTGCTCGCGACGGCGCCTGAGCTCTTCCCGACGTTCGTGCGGACCAAGTGCGTCTCCTCGCTGCTCGGCTTGCTGATGCACGAGAACTCGGACATCTCAATCGACGTCGTCGATCTGCTGCACGAAATGGCAGACGCCGATGGCGCCGACCCAGACGACGTCAAGGCGCTGGCCGACGCGCTGGTCGAGCACGGTGCGCCGGCTGCGCTGATGGAGCACCTGAAGCGGCTGGACGAGGCGGTGGACGAGGAGAGCCGCGCCGTGCACCAGTCGCTCGGCATCTTCGAGGCGCTGCTCGAGGCCAGCCCGGAGCTGTCAGCGCCACTGGCACGTGACGCGGGGCTGATGTCGTGGCTGCTTGGCCGGATCAAGCTGCGCCCCTTCCACGCAAACAAGCTATATGCGACGGAGCTGCTGGCCGTGCTGCTGCAGCAGAACGCGCCCAACCAGGCCCTGTTCGGCGAAGAAGGCGGCGTGCTCGCGCTGCTCACCGCTACCTCGTACTACAAGAGGCGCGAGCCGCAGGCGCGCGCGCCTCGAAGCTGAATGGGTATTCCTGTACTCCAACCAGCACTCGAGAGAACGCGCACTCAGCTGTACTCGACCGTATTCCCGCGGTGCTCATTGCACTCGAAGCCCGTGTCTGCACGCGGTGCTCTGAATACACACTGCCCGATGCCGTCTTCACGCAAAGACACAACCCCGGGCCCACGACGCACAAGCACAGACAGTCGAGAACCGGGAGAGACAGCGACGACAGTCAGAAGTCGGCACTGGGTCCCAGCCAGGAAGGCGAATGCGATGGCGGCCGTCTCCTCACCCCGACGGCCGGCGTCTTCTCGCGGCAGGCCCTTGAGGAGGCTGAGCTGGTCGAGAACATGTATGACTGCCTCTGCAGCGCGCTGCACGCGCCCGCCAACCAGACGCTCTTCCTCAAGGCGGAGGGCATCGAGCTGATGATCCTCACGCTCAAGGAGCGCCGCTTCGCCGCGCAGGTGTGCAGAGACGCTGCCCGCACTCACAGCCACACACCTCGCCCGCACCTCGCCCGCACCTCTGACACGCCGGCGAGCGCCAGCAGCTCCTGTTCACAGCGACGATGTGTGAAGGACGCTGCCCGCACCCACAGCCTCTCGCACACCCCTCGCCACGGCCCCGCACACACACGCTGCCACCCCCCCCCCCCCCGGCTTTTCTTCCTCCCCCCCCTGGGCCTTTCCTCCTTTCCTTTCCTCCTTTCCTCCTTTCCTCCTTTCCTCCCCGGGGGCGGGGGAGCGCCAGCAGCTCCTTGGGGGAAAGGGTTTGCAAAGCCCCCCCCCCCCCCCCCCTCCCCTCCCTCCCCTCGCCCCACAGGGCGCACTGCGCGCACTCTCGGCAAGCCTCGCGCGCAACGGCGCCAACTGCGAGCGCTTCGTCGACATCCGAGGGTTCAAGACGCTCTTCCCCCTCGTCGGCGCCGCGCCGCCGCCGCCGCCCGCCTTTGCGAAGAGCAGCGAGGAGAAGCGCACCGCGCAGCTAGCGCACGACGAGCACTGCGCCTCGCTGCTGGTCACTCTGCTGCACCAGCTGACCGGCGAGCGGCGGCGGAGGCACAACGCCACTTCCCCCCCCGCTTCTATTGCGCGAGCAGGGCTCACCGCCGTCGCGGAGAGGCCTAGTACCATACCTCCAGAGTACCGAATCCCGTGTGGGTTCAGTCCCGTGGGTGGTGTGGTAGGCTGCTGGGCAAGCTTGCGGAGGGAGACTGCGAGAAGCTGGAGCGGCTGCTGCGCCTACACTTTTCCTACACCGAGAGGGTCGAGCTGGCGGCAGAGGCGGCGCTCGCCGTCAGCGAGGTTGGCCGCGGCGGCGAGGAGGAGGGGGGCCCTAGAAGCGGAGTATCTCCTCATATCTCCCCGTATCTCCCCGTATCTCCCCATATCTCCCCCTATCTCGGGCCCTAGAAGCGGAATACTACGCATTTTTGTATTCGAACGAGCGCTCGAGGGGACACGGAAACCGCCGTATTCGGCCAGAACCCGCGGTCTTCACTGTGTTCGTAGCCGCTCGTATTCGCGCGGTGCTCTGAATCCTCTGCGCAGTACCGCATTCCCGCCCTGAGGTTGGCGTACTCACACTTAGGACGAGGACGAGCTGGACGACGCTCTCTACCTCGCGAGGACGGGCGCCGGCTTGCGGACGCTGCAGCTGGTCGACACGGCGCTGTGCTACGTGGCGGGGTCGCGCGCCAAGCCGCTGCTGGGGCGGCTGCTCCACGGCTTGTACGAGGGCGGCGCATCCCTCCACAGCGTCTGGGGAAACGCCGACGAGCACCTCAAGACTTGCGACGGCGGCGACGAGCCGCTGCCGGACGCGGCTGAGCAGCGGTCGGTGAGCGAGATGGGCGAGGCCGTGCGCGCGCTACTGTCGAGGTACAAGTCCGCCGACGACGCGGAGGGCGAGGGCGGAGACGACCGGGGCGAGGGTTCGGCCGACGCCGCGGCCAGCAGCGCCGGGCCAGAATGAGCAATGCCAATGGGGGGCGGGAGAGCGCGCCCGGCGGCAGGAACGAGGAAGGCGCCTCGTCTGACGCCTGTCGTCAACGCTCATGTGCACGGTGCTCTTTCTGCCTATTAGTACCACGACAGTTTGTTCGGAGGAGTCTGTCTAGTGTCTGCACAAAACACAGTGAAAGTGTGTGCGCGCTATTTCCCCTCTCCGGCTCCGCGTAATCGGCCCGCATGCCGCAAAAGGCCAAAACGCCCATGGCCTTTAATCTGATCCGAGTCGTCACAAAACGCGTTTAATCCATCGTCCGCTCTCGAGAGTGTCGAGTTGCGAGAGGCGCTAGGACAATGCGGTGTACAGCAGACGGTGTAAATATATACATCTGTACGTGAACGCGCGGGAAGCGCGCGGCGGAGAGCGACTAGAGGAGAGACCCCGGCCTCCGTGCTGCACCCACCCGCGGCGGGGGTCGTGAGAGAAGTGACAGTGGCGGCTCGGCTGAACTCGCTCCTTAGTTCGGGCACAGCTCTCCCGCGGCCTCCACCTCCCGCTGCGCGGCGAGCCTCTTGGCCAGATACCTCTCCTCCTCGTCTCCGATGAAGAGCAGTGGCGCCAGCCCGAGCACGCAGCCGATCGAGATGCCGATGAGCTGCCCGACGGTGGTCGCGCGTTTCGAGGGCGGCTGCACGAGCTGGTGAGGCGAGAGGTGGTGCTCGGGCAGGCCTAGCCGCCCGGACAGCCGCTCCACGGTTGCACCTGCCTGCAGGCCGACGACGTCCGAGCAGAGGTTTCCGAGCCCTGCGGAAGAGAGGGGGGGGGGCTAGATGAGCCGGTGCACATGCAGACGTAGACGTGTGCGTGTGCGTGCGTGCGTGCGTGTGCGTCTCTCTGTCTCTCCCTCTCCCTGTGTGTGTGTGTGTGTGTGTGAGTGTGTGTGTGTGTGTGTGTGTGTGTGGCTGGCGAGCGCGAAAGCCTGCAGCGGCCATCGCCGAGAGCCCCAGCGCCGCTCCAAACGCGGCCTCGATCTGGTCGCCGGCCACGAGCATGATGAAGTTGTCGAGGAAGCCTGATCAACCGCATATGTGAAAAGTCTCTCGCCGTTTTTGCGTCTGGCACGCGGCGCGGCCGAGCGAGCCGAACGCGACAAAGGGGATTGCGGCGCCCAAGCCGAGCTTTCGAAGCTGGGCGGTGGTTGGCGGCTCGGCCGCATCATCGCGCGCCGCCGCGGCCGACGGCGATGCCGCGTGCCACTCGAGGCGCGCCTCCGTCGCGCCCTCTGGCGCTGCCGCTCGCTCAGTCCACACAACTCGCTGACCGGACCCGTCTGCCACGGCAGCATCGACTCGCCGTAGCTTGTAGATGAGGTCGGGGTCGGAGAGGGAATGACCGTGCCGCCGGAGCGAACGCGTGTACCACGAATGGAATTCGGCGGACGATAGTTTGCCGTCCGAGTCGAGGTCGGCGCTCGCAAAGGCGTCGATGACGCTGAGCAGCTCGTCTCCCGTAGTCGTCCGCAGGCTGTGCGTGCAGATCAGGTGTGAGCGTGGCGG